ACAACAACTTGGCTGGACCCCTCCCCCAATTCCCCAACACTGTTCCCCTCCCCAAATGCCCCAATAAAAAAATCTTAAAAAAAGAAAAAAAGAAATCCAAAACACTAATTTGAGAAGACACATGCATCCCTATGTTCACTGCAGCATTATTTACAATAGCCAAGATATGGAAGCAGCCTACGTGTCCATTGATAGACGACTGGATAAAGAAGTGGTATATACAGAGGATGCCAAAAAATGTATACACATTTTAGGAAAGGAAAAAACTGTATTAAAATTACACTGATGGTAACCAATTTGAGCACTTCTTATAACTGCCGAGTCAAATATGACTTGTATTCATCTTTTGTTATTGGTATATATTGAGTATTACAATACTAATACAGTTTTTTCCTTTCTTAGAATGTATGCACATTTTTTTTTTGGCATCCTCTGTATATACAGTGGAATATTACTCAGCCATAAAAAAGAATGAGATCTTAACAGTTGGTTTATTAGAGGTTCTTATGCTAAGTGAAATAAGTCAGACAGAGAAGGACAAATACCTATGATCTCACTTACCGTATTTCTCCATGTATAAGACACACCTTTTTTTGAAAAATTTGGGGTCTAAAAACTGGGTGCGTCTTACACAGTGGCTGTAGATTTCAAATGCCATAGATGGAACTGAGGACGAGGCAATATATGAAGACAGTGATTCGTCATCAGACACAGATGAGGACAAGCTATTGGAAGTTTTAACATTGATGAGGAGTTGTATGAATTTTATGATGAACTTGAGTTCAATAACTTTATGTAATACTTTTTTTTTCAAATTTCGGGCCCCAAAATTAAGGTGCGTCTTATACATGGGGAAATGCAGTATATGTGAAATCTAAAAAAATAAAAACAACCAAAATAACCTAACAAACAAAACAGAAATAAGCTCATAGATATAGAGAACAATGTGATGGTTGCCAGATAGGAGGGGGGTTGGGGAAATAGGTGATAAAGGTGATGGGATTAAGAAGTACAAAGTGGGAAAGGCAGTGTTGGCTTTTAAGATCCGTAATACTGCAGTTGGAGGTCATCACTACCCAAGTGACACTTTTACAACATCCAGAGGAGCAGGGTTTGCAGCAGAGGTCAGGGAGAGGCAATGTGCCAAGGTGGCCACAGGAAATGTGTTGCATGCACATGTCAACAGTCTTGCACACCTCATGTGGCCCACTCGGAGCTAGATACTGTCTTTAGGCAAGGTGTAAGGTCTATTTTCTAAAGCTGTAAGTATTCAGACAATGAATAGTTGGGTAATTTAAATGTATTTATTTTTAATGGAAGAATTTTGATTAAAAATAAGCTAATGGAAATGTCTGCTATTTCTTATCTTCAAGGAAAGCAAACATTTTGTAATGTGCACATTTTAAAAATAAAGAAATCTGACATTTAAAAAAAAAAGAAGTACAAAGTGGTAGTTACAAAATAGTCATGGGGATGTAAAGTAAAGCATAGGGAATATAGTCAGTGATATCGTAATAACTGTATAGTACCAGGTGGGTTCTATACTTATTGGAGGGATCACGTCGTAAGTTATATAAATGTCTAACCACTATGCTGTACACCTGAAACTAATATATCAAATGTCAATTGTAATCGAAAAAATTTAAAAACTAAATTAAAAAAAAAAAGAATTCTAAAAAAAAAAGATGAGTTTATTTCAAAACACACCCATACGTCAGTGCCATCTGGCATGGCTTCCTCCCTACCAAATGGAACTGTATGGAAGAAAAAAAAGATAGCAAGGTGCCTTTTCACATATATTATCTTATTTCTTTTTTAGAACTACTCTGAGGCAGAAGTTATCACCACTTTGTGATGAAAATTTTGCAGAAATTCTTTTTACTATGTACTTTTCATTTATGATATACATGAATAAGTGTAATCTAATATGACAAACTATAAACTCAAGAGCTTATTTACTGACCAAACACAAAAGTTGTACTCACTTAATCTATTCCACAATATCAGAATAATTTTTTAAATATAATTTTATTTATTCCAATGCTAAAATAAGTTCTATGAGAAATGTTTTATCCTGTGTCAACAAGACCTTCTGTTGCCCTTTGGACCTCCCTCATACAAATATGCTGATTGTTAAAGAACAGTCTTGTTTCCAATCTTGTTACAATACATCACACTACCCCATATTGTACTGGGTCGTCGGAAAAGTCATGACGCATCTTTGCATTGAAAAACAGAAAAATATGTCATGACTTTCCTGACGACCCAATAGTATTATGTACTTCTCCCATCAATTACAAGTCTACAATAATTTTACTTGCCTGGTTACTCATAGAAGAGCTTCCTTTACTTAAAGAAGTAGTACCTTCTGAGTATTTCTCGCCTTTGGATTCTATAGTGATGATCTGGTTATTGTACCACGAAGAAGTGTTTTCCCCTACTGCTCTTGAATCTTACTGATATTTGACTAAAACTTGTTTTCTTATCCCTTATCGATGATAACAGTAACCACAACTATTAAAGATCCTGTGATCACTCTAAAACTCAATGCGGCCAAATGATCCAATACAAGAAAATACTGGGTTGCTTTTTCTAGCCAGAATCATACATAAAGTAGAGCTGGGGCTCAGTATTCAAAGAAATCCAAACTTCTAATTATATTTACAAACAGACTTGAAAAAAATTCTAGGAAAGCAAAGTCCTTGGTGGATCAAAGGGGGAAACTGGTTACAATTTCCAGAGAATGGTGTCTGACTGCAACATCTTGAAAACTAAACTCACTTTCATAAGATTTAATCTAACGAAATTTCTGATTTGGACTCGCTGTGGGGATGGAGAGGGAAGGAGGAAGGATGATGATGACAATAATGACATTATGAACATGATCCACATTCTGTTTTTTTGTTTTGTTTGGGGAAGAAAATTAAAAACAAAAACAAAATGCCACCTGTTAATTATTAAGAACTCTGTAAATGATCCTATACATTTTGAGCCAACAATCTTCTCAATAAAAGAAGTTGTTCTGTGTCCCAAGTAAGAAATACCTCACCATAACATGCTTACACATCAGTAATATTTTTATTAGCATAAGTCTCATGATGTATATTAATCTCTATAGACATACAGTTTTCTGGTTTTTACTTTCTTAGGATGCTTGAGGTTCCCTTTCAAATCATGAGCTTAAAAAATTCTGTCTCTTGAGGAGCATTTGAGATATTGCTCTCTGGCATATGTTGTCAGTTCGGCACAAATAAACTCATAAAAATTCTCAAAAAAAATAAAAATTCTGTCTCTGACTTGAACTCTGAGATATAACTTCATCATTCCAAAGCAAACAGAGAAAATAACTACCTCATCTAAACACGGCATCTGAATTGTCAACCTGACTATCATAGCTACTTATAAAGAAGAAAATATTTTCTAGTTACTGAATGGAACCAGAATGTCAGCCAAGACCCTTTTGTGTTTATTTGAGTAAGTAAAAGCAAGCAAAACGTTCTGAAAATTTGGTTCAATGGAAATAATAAGAGCTTTGATACTGGGTATACTAAGGAGGCTTTGTCTGTATGTTACCAAATACCCAGCTATCATCTACCTATCAGAAACGTTTATTTCACAAGGCAATAGGTGAGCCATGTCCAGAAAAATAAAGCGGGGCTGACTTCATTGGGCATTTTCTGCTGCTTCCTTTCTCTTCAAGTTGGACTGGAAATGCTATGAAGAAAATCCTCTGAGCAATCGGCCCCAAACAAGGGAAGTCCATAAAAAACAACAGGGACGGACGTAGGAGGGGAAAACACAGGGCTTAAAAGAATGTGACTTTTTATCTGAACTTAAAACTCAGAAAGTGTGCAGTTAGGAATTACCCATTTAACTCTTTACTTATGTTGTGTTGATTCATGTGAAAAAGTGCTTTAAAAGTCCACACAGTTGGGAGCTTTGAAAGATTCAAAATAAAGATCTGGCAGGAAGTGTCTCCAAATACAACAGCTCAATTATATTCAGAAAGGAAATGTTCCCAATAGGCTGAGCTAATCAGAAAATAATAAAACCTGAAAGCATTGTGAATAGAAACATAGTTGAACTAAGTTGATTTGAAATGTATAAACACTGACCTGAACATGAAAAACATACACACTCAAGAGACTCAGCGTTATGTAAAGCCAGCACATGTCAAATAATTAAAATTAATCACTATGTTGGGCTTTTTAACAGGAATTTTTCCAAATTTGTTATTTAAAATGAGACAGAGGAAGCAATGCCTCTCATTCCCTTCCTTCTGTGCTTGTACTGCTCAGACCATTCTTTGATGTAAAATCCTGAAAATGTGGTTAAGTGGCTTCAGACACTAGAAAGTGCCTATTTGCTCCTTTAGCTGTGTGAAATGACACAAATTCCAAATCTTGGTTTGCTTATCAATAAATGGGATTAATCCTGACCTCACAGAGAGTTATTAGAAGCACTAAATAAGCACAGTTTCTAGCCCTTGATGGATAAATAAACGTTAGGCTCCAGAGTACTGCCCAGTCCTCCAAATCATTAACACACTAGAAATAAAGAAGGTTGCAGTTTTAATAGTGCTTTTAAGAAATATTTGATTTAGGTATTAGAAATACATTTACATAAGCAATGCCAAGACAGCTATTTCTCCATGATAGGCATGTTTATCCAAAGACATAACATACTGTGCTGAATAAGAATAAAACATTGAAGAACAGATGGGCAATAGGAAAGAAAGAGTGGCAGAGGTTCAAAATGACCCCGAAGTGGTCAGAGCTGAAGCTCTGTCAGGAAAAAACAAACTGACAAATCCAGGCCAGAACAACACGTCACAAAGATGGGCAGGCTTATGCTCGTAGGCACCAAGCACAATACACACTGCCCTGCCCCACAGACGCATAAAGGTGATCTGATGGAAAGAGAAAGATTTGAGAGAAAGGGCAGAAATGTTTTTAGTAAGCAAATTAACAATTCCAAGGTAAGGCTATTTTTAAACATACCAAATGTGGAGGCTCATTTTTTCCAAGTGGTTCCTGAAAAACATATTAAACATTTAAAAAATGATAATCATGTAATCTTAGTTGTCTTCTTGAAAGTTTTGAAATTATCCTTTGAGAAATGAAATAAAAAAGGTCTGGCCAATTTACTAGATTCCTTGAACTGCCTGTGACTCTTAACCTACTGAATTCTCTTATAATAATTGTAGTATTTATTAACTAATTCATTTTGAATAATATTGTAGCTGAAGGAAAAATGTGCCCCAATGCCCACTAGAATGAAAGCATATGAACTTCCCACTATTCCCTCACCCACAACTATCTCATGGGAACCCATACTGTTGTGCAGCTGGCCACACTCTCACAGCTTCGTGGCACAAGATTATTCCCTCTTTGTGGGAGGCCCCTCTGCCCGACTTCCCTGCCTGGAAAAATTCCTTTTACCCCTTAAGATATCACTCAATGCATTCTCTTCTGTGGCAAGGCCCCCAGACCCCAGCCTCTGAGTGCTCCCTACCCCTGCTCCCCTAGCGCTGCCTATACACTGTCTTTTCTCACTAATTGTTCTATTAATTAACTGTCCACACGTCTGTCTCCCCAGAGAGACTGAGACCCCTCAGGGCAGTCTCACTCATCTTTCACCTCCAGTGAGTCAGTACAGTGTCTGGCATATCAGAGGCACTCAATAATGCTGCTGGATGAAATAACTGATCAAATTACAGACCTCTCATCCATGTGCTAATGTCACGTATGAGCTCTCTATGGAGTCTACAGAGATTCACATGCTGTTTCATTCCCTCTGCATATACATATAACATAATTCAACCATTCCACTTTAAAAAAGCTTGTTCCACATATTCAACTGTATGCCATTACATGCCATTGGCATTGGTTATGTTCATGCTTAACTCACCAGTTGGACAGGTCGTATTGACATTATTGTATTATTTGATCCTCCCCAGTCAAAAAAGCATTTGTATTTCCCTTTCTCTAAAATGTACTGTTCTCCACAGAAGAACTTCTGCTGGTAGGCAACCCACCTAGGAGGGAAAACAGGAAAAAGAACAGAGGTGATGTAGAATCGAGCAACCAACAATGTTAAACATGAAAGGATCTTTCAAGGTTCCCCCAGGAGACAACTTACACTCCACTTTTAACGTGAATGGACCTTGTTTCACTGCCAAAGCCGATTTCTTCTAAGTCAGACATTTCCTGATTTGTAATGTCAATAAACTTCCCACTTTCCAGGTCAGATTCAAACAGCGTGATGGAAGATTCTATAAAATTCTAAAAAGAGAAAGAGGAAAGTTTAGGAAAATATGTGCATTTTGTTTTTTTGGACTGCTAAATCTTTGCACAATTTTCACATACTTGTGGGATAATTTTCACACAAGTAACTCCGGGAAGAATTTTAAATGGTACTGGAAAGAATTTTAATAGTCATTACTCCTAAACAGTAGAGAAGAAAAATAAACCTGCATTTTTATTTTAATCAGGAAAGTATGACATTTTTATATAAATGGGAATTAGTCAACAGTTGGTAAATTGTGGGGACTTACAGGCTACCATCTCTAACTTTAATTGTAAAAGAACTAATGTCTAACTTGTGCCTAGAGAGAAAAAACTGCACGAAACAAAAGTAAATATACAATGTACTGTGGGCAATGTGGGGGAGCATTTTATGAGCTTAAATGTAACAAAAAATAAAGCTTGCCTGACAAAAATATTTTATTAAAAAATCAGAGTGACAGGAAATTTAAACAATTTTTAGTCTGATAACATATTTGAAACAAAAATATAAGAAAATATCCAAAATTGATAAGCCAGCAAAAAGAAAAAACCCAGACAATTCACAAAAAACTTAAAAACAAGTAAGCAAATATCTACTTTCACTAGTAAAAATAAAGAAATTCAAATGAAAACAACTGATACAATTTTTACCTTTTAAATTAAGCTAAGAAGGATCTAAAACTCCAGTTTTGTTAAGGAAATATAATTTTTTTTTAATTTTATATTTATAAAATTTGCTGGTGGAAATATAAATTGGACAGCTATTTTAGAAAATAATTTAGAGATAAATTTAAAAGACTGAAATTGTACATACTCTTTGAGCCTGAAATTTTCTTTTTTTAAGAAAAGTTTCTTAAAGAAACTACACAGTGGAAATATATGCAAAGATGCAATATTTGTTATAGTGAAAGCTGTAGACCATGTAAATGTCCAAAAGATGTATAAAGATAAATCTTTATGCATCCACCACTTGATGGAAGAAATCTAATTAAGAACAGTTTTTAACAAGCTAACAGTGAAATATGTTCTATACTTACTACTGGCCAGAGCTTTCCATGCATTATTTCCAAAAGAGCCACCACAGGAGATTATATTACTATTATTCCCATTTTACAGCTAAGGAAATTGAGTAATACATAATTATTTACAGTAAAATATATATTAATAAATATTCATAAATATTAATCTATGTATGTGTATGTTATACATATATGTATTACACATACACATGCATACACACATACACACACACACACACACACACACACACACACACACACACACACAGAGGCCATTTTAAAGATGAGGAAATCAAGGCTTTAATAGCCTCTAAGTGATTAGCCTTCAAGTCCCCAGAATAAGCCTCCCAACTGAAGTATGAGGTTTTCAGCCTGGGTGCCATATCAACAAACCTGGTTGCATTGACAACATAAACTTCTACCACCCGAGGAGCCCAAACACACCTGTCTCTCCCAACCTGAAAATGCATAACTAGCTCAAGGCGGTTGTGAGGATACTATGTGATGATGATGGCTCGAGGGGGTCCAGTCTGGGTCCTGGTTACGAACTGGTCTCAATGGCCACCAACCACGTCAGGCCCAACCATAGTGGGAAGGTCTCCAGCAGCCCAGTTACACGGACCTCTCCTCTCACTCTGGTGACGTCGGAATGTTCTATCTCTGCTTCTCCTGCCTCCACAACTACCTAATCTCTACTCCGTTAGGGTTGGAGGAATGGGGGAGTAGGGAGAAGCTGAAGTATACCATGGGTTGCTGTGTTATGTTGGAGTCAAATAGGACAAGACAAAAATATAAATAGACATGTGCACGTGTGCTGTGTTTGTGCCCTTTCATTAAAACTAACCTGTATTATGAGGTGCTGTACTTTACTGGAGCGATGATTTGCACAAATGATACTGTACGGGCTGTGGGGGAGTGACAGCACTGAGGAGGGTGAGCTGGGAAGCGGGCTGGAGACACAGGCGCTTGGTAACAATGCAGCCCAGAGATGAGTACAGAAGGAGGAATCCAGTGTCACAGGGTCCACTGCCAAGTACAAGTGCTTACAGCATATGAGTTCACAAATAAATTCACCCACATGGCTTGAGTTTGTGTCCTTCCTACTCTGTCTACCATTCGCAGACACTTGGCTGAGGGCTGCAGGAGTCTCCCAAGTGCCGTCGCTTTCCTTTTTTCCATCTTCTGCTTTTGTTCATTCATGGCTTTTCATACCTTATGGCTTGTGCCTTCCATCTTTTTCTGCGTACCCTTTGAACCACTCAACTAGTCTTTACCCTCTCTGCAGTTTCACTCAGACCTACCAAATATACAATATCTGCTCTAGTTGATTAGTTGCCATCAACATGGTACCCCTGCGGACAGAGTCTAACTGTAAGCCAACTCCAGTCACCTGGTGCTAAACCTACAAGGTCACGTGTACAAAGCATGGTATAAAATATTAAAACAAAACAAAACAGAAAGTCTTCTAACAGTCTTGTTCAGGTGATTGCAAAAGGCACTGAGTCATGTCCAGAGGAAGCCCCATTAGGTTACTACGTCACTATCATCCCCACTTTACTAGGCATAAATAACTTCGAAAGTCAAACTTGGAGCTCTGTTGCTTGAGCAGAATGAATAATGATGGAATGGGCTCAAATCTGTATTCCATGTTATATTTTTAAAGCACTTAAATCCGTTGAAAAATCTGGATAATTTAATATAGTCTCAGATACAGTACTCCCATTGTTAGAGAAAAGTAATGAGCAGTTGCTACAGGACCAAAGATAAGTCTTAAGGATCAGTAACTTATTATTTTTAAATTCCATAAAATCCCTCAGCTGATCGGACCCTGGAGCTCTTGCGATACAGCCCTGGTGGGCAACAGAACCTGAGACACCAGCAGAGATCTTGCGTATCCATTAATTTAGGAGGAATACTGGTCTCCGCTGCATTCCACCTGGTTTCTGAGATCTAAAAAGAGGCCCAGTCCAAAAGTCATAACAAAAGCAAATCCAAAACTTAGTAAAAAACAAGAAAAACAAGCATACCAAGAAACTTTTATCAAGGAAGCCAAGGAATAAAAATTCCTTCTCTAATCCCTGGAGTCTAAATACTATATTCCTTCTGGTCTTCTCCTTAAAAAAATAATCAACTCCAAGTCAATGCATCTGCCTGACTCATTTGGAATTAGGAACACACTTCTGGTTGTGCTCTCCAAAGCACTCTGGGACACAGAGCACATATCCCTGAGGGACATGTCCAGGATTTGACCATAGTGATCCAGAGTGTTCCACACACGGGAGCCAGGACATGAGGAAAGCACACTGTATTATGCAGCTTTCCTGTGCATTCTCTTATTTTATATTGCTACAGCTTAGAGCTTAAAAATAGCGCTTCACTCCTTCCAAGGTTAGAGACATCTGAGAATGTGTGTGGGGAAAAGATGTCTCACATCAACTCTACTTGTTCACTTGCAACCACAGAGCTTTACAGAACTGTACCATATACTTGAATTTTCCAAAGAGGGTAGATCTTATGTTTGTTTATCATACACACAAAAATAATACAGGGGGGGTGGGCAGAAATTTTGCAAGATGACGGATACATCTATGGCCTTGATGGTGGTGATGGTTTCATGGGTGTAACTTATCCCCAAACTCACCAAGTTGTATACGTTAACTATGTACAACCATAACTCAATAAAGTGGTTTTTTAAAAAAAGAACTCCTCCCCAATTACGTGCTATGTCTAAAGAATATAAAATTTTTCTAAGTTTAACTTGATGAGCCAATTTTTAAAGCATTTATGTAATATATACACATTTAAAATCTACATTTTCTCCACATATAGTTCAGTATATTTCATCTGAAAATATTTTAGTGAATATAAATTTAAATTATAAGTAAGCTGCCTGAAAGCCCATCTAAATAATTATTTATTACATATATGTATTGGTCTGCAATGTGACCATATATGGACAGCTACAAATAAAATGCTGATAAACCTTTAGTTGGATGAGATCCGGCTTTCCATCATTAAGGTGCTTTTTTATGCTAACCATTCTATAACAGAGGGGAATGGTTCTATGACATGGGCCCCCGAGCAAGGCAGACTTGCTCTCAAATCACAGCTCTACCAGGCACAGAGCCGAACCTCCTAAACCCACTGAATACATTAAAAGGTCTCCAGAGCTGGTCAGAGCAACATTTGATAAGCCCTGGTACCCTCCAGTTTCTGTATCAGTGAGATGGAAATTAGAAGGGTCTCTAGCTCATCATATTTGTGAGGTTAAGTGCAAATATGCATATAAAGCCATTAGTAAGTCCTTGACTAATGTTAGATTATAATGAGGATTATGAAAATATCTTTAAGTATAAGCCAACAACTCATCTTTTAATTTAAAAAAGCTAAGAGAACAGAAGATTTTCTTTTTTTTTTTTTCTTTTAGCTGACCCATCCTGCCACCTGTTGGCAGTTCAGCAGCAGCTCAGCTCGGGCCGGGCATCAAACCGCTATTGCTCAGAACTGAACTCGCACTCTTGAGCGAGATCTTAACCAACTGAGCTACTCGGCCGGCTCCCATAAGATTTTCTTTGAAGGGCATTTTTACTTATTTATATAAAAACTGTGTCATCATTTTTGTTAAGGCCCCAAACGTTGGTGTGCAACACAAATTAAGATGCCGATTTATGCCAATTTTTCAAATGTACATTATCATAGACTGTATCGAATATTTCATAATTATTTATCTATATAATTATAGCATTCATATCTTTTCACATTTTCTACTATTGGGATATTTCAACTAGTGACTTGGGGTTTTGTTTTTTTGTTTGTTTGCTTGTCTTAGTCACAATCATCTTTGGAAGATACCATCATATTCCTTGCTAAACATTCCTAGGATCAGCAATTCTTCCATTCAACTCTCTTTTTTAAATATGGAGGGAAAAGCAAATTGTTTCATACTAGATAGAAGATGCTTTGAATCATGACTCAGTTTCCTCAATGCATGAGATCAAAAAGATCTAAAAAAAAAAAGATGAAATCTCTATCTTGTTTTGTCTTGCTTGCCTTTCAGAGGTCAAGTAAGGAGTAGCTAGGTAGAAAAAAACCTTTTATATTGTAGACTAAGTACCTTCAAAGTTATCTATCCATTACTCAAGTTAACTCTGTGCCTGGTCTTTAGTGGACTGCCCCATATTTCTTCCAGGTACAACTGGTTTCCAAATCACTTTCTCACTGACAAAAATCATTCATGAAAAAAAGTGCTCCCGTGTTCCCTGTGCTGCTTCTCCCCCATTCTGGCTCTTCCTGTCTGACCAGGTAACAGGGGCTGGAACAGAACTACCAGTGGCCCCAACAGACAGAAACCTAAAGGGCTAGAGCACACAATCCTGGTGCTCATCCAAAGTACACGTGGGCCCAGTAACCACCCTTCACTTCATTATCAGTTCCTTCAAAGGGAGTTTTAGAGGCTATGTCAGATAGTTTAGGGCTTAGATGGGTAAAGGTTATTTTGGAAAGACATTCCAGTAGGTAACTCCTCAACCATAAAAGAACATGCGCCTCTGAATACATTGAAACATCTCCAGAGCTGGTCAGAGAAATGAGCGACATCTGTTAAGCCCTGATATCCCACAGAACTCTCTAACATCTACCTCCTCTTCTCTGGGCCTTCGTCACCTCTCGTCTGGTGTCCTGTAATGTTCTGGTCCTCTTTTCTCCAGACTTGACTTCCTTCACCCCATGCCATTTCTTGATACAGTCAACAAAAAGATCTTTGTAAACCTCTAATCTAATCATACTCACTAGGTGTACAATCCATCAGTGGCTCATGGCCAAGAGGAAGAAAAACAACTTGAACTCTTCAACATGGCGCATAAGGCCCTTTATTATCTGGCTCTGGACTCATCCTCCCAAAGTTCTCCCTAACATCCTGACTTAACTGCATTTCCCAAACACGCCCCCTTCCACTTATACAACGGTTTCATAACCTCACCACTATTAACATTTTGAGCCAGATGATTCGTTCTTTGTTGTAGGGGGGCTGTCCTGTGAATTGTAGGGGTTTAGCGGTATCCCTGGTCTCTACCCACTTAATGTCAGTAGCATCCCAGCCTCCTGCCAAGTCATGACAGGTCAAAATGTCTTCAGACAGTGCTGACTGCTCCCTCGTGGGTAAAATCAGCTGAGATCCACTGGCTCACACGCTTGCCCTTATGTATGTTAATCTCTTGCTAAAACAGCACCTGCCTTTCCCCTTCACTCTATCCTGATTTTCTTCACTTGGCTAACGCCTGAACTTGAAATTTCAGCTGAGCTGTCATCTTAACTTGCTTTTACTTAAAAGAAGAAGTAACTGACCTTTTTCTGGGTACCGTGAGTCCTTTGTGCTTAGCCCAATCATAGTTAAACCATATCAAACATTTATGTAAGTGCTATCTTCCCTATCAGACTGCCTGCCCTGTGAGTGCAGGGACTGAGTCTCTGATCGCTGTATCTCTAGCACCCCGCACAGTACAGCTACCATAGCAGATGCTCAATAAATGCTTGTGGAATCAATGGATGAAAAGTAAACATAATTATTCTAGAATAATCATGGCAGTTACGAAAAACAGGCAAGTCACATAAGCGGTCAGTGTAATGCTCTCAAGCTTTAGGAATGTTTTATAATCTCGTGTTCTATTAGAGGTCATACCTAGTTTTTATGGAAAGACAATACAGACAGAAATTAAGAATTCAGAAGCCAACTCACAGCTTGTAAGTACCGGAAAGACAAGATGGGGCCACTCAACGCCCCACAGGCATTACTGTCTTCAAAATCACCTTCTTCAAGCAAAAACTGCTGGCCTTTAAAATGTTCTTTTTCATAGGCAACCCACCTAGAAATACAAAGAACACCAACTGAGCCATTAATAAAACTGCAGTCAAGACAAGAGAAAAAAAAATCATGATAAAGCACCCATTACACATCACCGTATTTTTAAAAAGCAACACATTTATTTTGTTAACATTTACAAAAATAGACAAATGGTGTGTGCTTCATGGATCAATAATTTTTATAGCTTGGAGGCTTTTCCCAGCCAAAGGTTAACAGTCGGAGAATTGCAATGCTCATTAGATGTTTGCGGTGTGACCTGATACCACACCTCAAAATGGTTGGAGGGTAGTTTGCCAAGTCAAAAGTTATGGAAAGCACAAACAGGCAAGAGAAAAGTGAGGAGCCCACACTGAGATTCAAAGACAATCATTCTTATTCAACTGAGGAAGCCCTTCTGGAATCACAGAATGATCACTATATTAAACATTTATTTAGGGTTTCAGTTAAAGGAAACCTCTCACCAGACTTCAGATCTAAAACACATTCAGGAGCAGGCCAAGGGGCTCAGTTGGTGAAGACCGCAAGCTCTGAGCAATGGGGTCGCCAGTTCAATTCTCACATGGGCCAGTGAGCTGCACACAAGCTGAGCTGCCGCTGAGCTGCCAACAGATGGCAGGGTGGCTCAGCTGCTGAGAGCATGTGCTCCTAAGAACAAGGTTGCCTGTTCAAGATGGTGGGCTATGCCCGCCCACAACTAAGATTGAACATGGCACCTTCAGCTGAGTGGCCCTGAGCTGCCGACAGGCAGCCGGATGGCGACTGGACTTGGAGCTGAGCTAGCTGTGCCCTCCACAACTAAAAATGAAGAACAACTTGGCTGTTCCCCTTCCCGAATTCCCCAATAAAGTCTTTAAAAAAAAAAAAACTTAAAAATAAATAAATAAAACACATTAGAGGCGGATTTAGCAAAGAGGAACTGGGAAATGCAGCTGAGTTGCTATTCGTCCTGGTGGCCTACATCTATCCAGCGTCTTCTGTAAGTGTTTACGGTGGGAAATGTTGCTCCCACCATTTTGTCAGTGGTGATAAAGGAAACAGGATAATGGAAGCACTGTGGCAGCGTGCTTTTCAGGGACCCAGGTTTCTTGACTTTTGATCTACAATCACCAGTACAGACACCGATACACACCATTAGTCATGAAGCTCTTCCATGACACTTGCATTTTATGGAGTAATCTGAGTAGCTAATGCAGTGCGGGCGTAGATGGGTCATAATGCATGCTGGCCTGCTGAAATCTGCCTTCAGGTGCACTCTGTAGTTAGAGTGAGACCTGTTCCCACAGGCAGATTCCAGGGATGAATTTTGGGCTCTTGGACTGGGGACTTCTGAATTCTGGGGCTTGACAAAACGAAGCCTGCCAGGGCTGACTACTATTTTATTTTCCTCTTTCTCCACCCCTACTATAGTTGTGAAGACAAAAACCATTTCAAAGAGTTGTTTTCATAGGATATAAGATTATAGTAGCCACTCAGTAATCACAAATCCCTCCTCATTTTCTGTGTTGTAAGTGTGCATATGTGGGGAGTGGGGCGTGGGGAGGGACATGAGTTGAAATAAACATATTTTATACTTCTTAGTAAATTTGTAATATGTAAAGAAACTAGCATTATTTTATTCTTAAACTATTACTTGAAAATAAATTTCACAAGAAAACTTTCAAATTCTAAGTTTTCTTTTATGTACATGTGGCTATTCAAAACATGCTTTTAACATATCTGAAAGGGAAAAAGAATAAAAGGTATAGAGGACCTAAATATTAAAGGATAGATCAGTAAATTATTACATGACAGTTCAAAAACCTTCTGCCCGGTTTTTCTTAACAGATTTGATTAACATTCAATTTATATATCCATCTGGGATATTTAAAACTAGATGCTATCTGAGAAATTTTAAGAAACATCAACCTCACTTTCCCCAGATTCCTCAAGTTGAGACAGAGATGAAGAACAGTCCACACTACATACAGATAAAGTTAAACAGCTAACAATAGTGAAAAATGGTAGAAACACAGAAAAAAAAATGAAGTCAGCTATTCATCTTTAAATGGGGACATCACATTTTTCTCCTGCAGTTGCCACATAAAAACGAAAGTATGCATGTGGTATTATTATAAGCCATAATATTTTCTTGAGATTTTTATAAAATGAAAAAAAAAAAAAACTTAGACAAGAACAATGCAAATCCCAATCTAATTAATGGTAAAAACATTCAGATCCCAATGGGAAGAAAAGGCAAAAATATTTAATGAAGGATTAATAGGAAGCATGTGTGTTCACAAATCAGAGAACACTGCAAATAAATACAACACAATGAAAATGTGTTTATCCAAAACATATTTGTTCATCAAGCCCCTACTAAGATTTTAAAATTCAAGAATAAGGAATTAAATGATTACCAATATGTCAGACCAATTACGGATATGACCCAGCCTACTGCATAATCTCCTTTATGTTTCCATTTTGGCTAGTGTGGCCATCACTTGATTTTCTGCCAGAAATTGCAAAGTCTAAGTCTCTAAATGTAGATGAGTGAGTGATCTTAGACAAGTCATTTAACATCTATGAATAAAATATTTCAGTAACATCTTTTGATAGACTAGCATGAGAAAGTTAAACGATATTATCGCCAATATCAAAAGACACTAATACTTAAACTAAAACGAACCAACATTGCAAATAAACCGACATATGAACTGGAATTCGGGAGGGATTTCAGTACTGGGTTGACCATGGCAGATAAGCTAGGAGGAAGGCCCCTTCTTCATTTTATCTGCTGGACTACAAATACAAGAGGCACAGCAAAATCTGGTCACAGATTTTTCTGGGCTTTCTGCTCCAGTAACTCTTGATTGAGGCTGGGTTAGTAGCAATGACGGTTACACTTGGGTTTATACTTAGTTCTTAGGGAGCTTCCTCAAAAGCATTTCAGGGTCAGAGAGTAACCAATATAAAAAATGCTTGACTTTGAAACAGGTAACCCAGGCTGCTTCTTTGACAAGGGAGGGCTCACTGCCAATGGCCTCGGCACAGAAAGTCAACTAAGATCTACAGAATAGAGGACAAAAACTGGGGCTCTCATCCATGTTCGTAATCTTTGAAAAAAAATTTTATTTGCAATTCTTGTTTCTATATTGTGCCTGGAAATACTAAGTGTTGCAGTTTTAGTAACTATTTTTACATTTAATCTATCTCAAAATCTCTAATATGAAGAGTTCACAAAAAGCGATTATTAATAGCAACTAATATTTTTGTTTCCCATATTATGGGAATGTATATCTTTAGACCAAGGCAGGTTGATTTTGCTCTGCTTAGCATATTTTTGGGGCTGATCTTCAAAAACAGACTACTAACTCAACTACTGAAAATATGGCACTCACACTCCACCGATGACACGAATTGATCCAATTCCATTAAAGTCCTCATCATTCTTTAGAAAATTAGGGACAGAATCTATATGTTCACTAAACTCTTTGGCCTGTCCATGGAAGTGAGGTTTTTCATAAATAATAACCTGAAAAATATGAAAGAAAATTATTTAACATGCTCATATTTTAGAATAGATACATACTGATTTACTGAAGGGGCAATAAAGACAACATGGATAGGGACCACTGTCTGGTTTTTCATTAATATATACTACAATATAGCACAGTGTCAGAATTCACATGGAATAAATGACTCTTTATCATCATACAGGTAAAATATCTTAATTAATAGTACACTTCTCTCATGTTAATATACTCAAGTATGATTATTGTTCTGGTTACCCAATCCTAGGACCATCTCATAGGATAAGAGGTCTTATAACTGGTGCTTGAATGATCTGTTTATCCCTGTGTTTAGAATACAGACCTGACTTATGTTTACTGAATTCCCCCTGTAAGAAATATTATAAAAATGAGTTTCTAGGGCATAATGATAAATTGTCTACTGATTTAAGATAACATGTGCTGTTTCTTATCACACTCACTGCTTACTATTCCATGAGAAGGAATAGACATGCAAATTCTTGAATTTAAGTACAAAACTTCCTATAAATAAGAAATGATTAAAAAAATTATAGTAGTTTTACTCCACATTTGATTTAAATTGGGGGCAAGAAGGTAAGTGTAGCAGGAAATACATTTCCAGCATTTTGTTTACTTCAAATTTGGATTGGTACAAGTATTTCTCTTCTACCATTTTGATGCTCTTTTCTTCCCAAGGATGAGCTGCCCTTAGTATATAGAAGTGATAACAGTGATAATAGCACGAGTCTATCCATACTCTATCACCTGATTATTTGCCGCTAATGGCATAATTTGTGCACAACTGGCAACCCATGACCTTGGTGAATAAGATCTGTTGCTTAAACACAATGAACCAGCAATTATAGCTCTCTTATTTACAAAAACTAATAAAATTATACAGACTGAAAAAATATGTAGCACTGCTCCTGTTGTTTTCTACCTATTAAGTTTTCACTACGTGCTATATTAAAGTGATGCAGCTTCATTTGGGTTTAATACATGTTATGGATGCTGAACACATTCAAGTAAGAACCAGTAATGCTTTGATGAGTAAGCCATAAACTAACATCTAACAACTTGACAACTCAGTGTGATAGCCATTCCATTCATATACCTATACAACCTGTCAAACTGCAGATGTCCAAGGAAGACCCAGCCTGTCGCACCTGAAGTCCTGACTTGGCAGAAGAGGAGACTGAGACAGGAGTCACCCAGGGAGTGTCACAGCTAATTCTGCATCTATTAGGTCACTGGTTCGAAGTCTTGGTTACATGTTAGAATCACCTGCTGAGCTCTGAACAATTTTTGACCACACCCCAGACCAAAACAGTGTCTCTGTGAGAGGAACCCAGGCATAAGTGTTTTTTTAAAACTCAGATGCGTATGATTCTATCATAAAGCCAAGATATATTAGATACATTCAGTTATAAAATTCCAAAGACTCCATCTATGTGATTGAGAGCATGGTAGTCAGTTCCATAAATTGGGAAGCCCCAAAACGGGCGGGTTGGAGGAGTTTTGTCTTGTTTTGGAGGAGAGAAGACCGGATGAATCCCTGTCTCCTTACCTGCCTCTGGAGGTGCTGTCGCCTAATTAAACAGAGGCCTGTATGCATCTTTGGCACTGCACTTTTTTCTTCCTATCTCTCTTTACACACATTTTATAATTCTATTTCTTTCTTTCTTTCCCAAAATGTGCTTAATCTTGGCACCACTGCCACTCCAGTTTTCACGGCCTCTACCCTTTCCTTCAAATACTCGTCATGCTTGAAAAAACTGGCATCTATCTGACAAGAGCTACTGCAGCTCCTGATCACCCCTGATCTTCCTGAGCATCACTCCCAAATGCCGGCTAGATAGCTCCACTTGATGTGTAGCTGCAACCCCCAACCCACCCTCCCAAACAAAAATCAAACCCATCATCATTCCACCCTGTTATAATAGAAGGTGCTTATCGGGTTTGACTGGGTTGTCGGTAGAGACCTCCCTCTTCGCATTGTTACCCCACGCCCCGCTCACAGCCTGGGCCCTCAGCAACCATTCTGTGCAGTCACCTCCCAACATCCATGAGCTAGGCATTATTAGCACACATACAGGTAGCTGTTTTCTATTTTAATCGTTCAAAACACTTAAAGATTAATACTCAAAATTTTAGCTTACTACAAAAGTCTGTTCAAGACTTACCTTTAAATTCATAGGCATTTCCACTTTCAGTCCACCCTTAAGATGAAGACATTTTAATATTAGATATATAGTTAAAATACTTTAAAGTAACTATGTGACAGATATAAATTACGTAAAAATCTGATTAGTGAAGATTATGTACCAGTCATGTTCAAATTGTGGTAAATTTAAAATTTTAAGTATAGCACTCTACAGTAGTTAAAATCAAGTTAGACAGCTCTACATCAATGTACATCAATGTAAATGGGGCAAGAGCTATTAAAAAGATACTTTCCAGATTACAGTAACTACAAAGAAAGAAACTGAACTTGAGTCCTTAAGCACACGTAAGCAATTAAAGAGGTTAATTCTATTACAATGTCCAAAAAAAAAAAAAAAGAGTGGAGTTGCTAGCAGATTTAAAAATCTCATTTGCCAGAGACTTCTAAACCACTGAATACTAAATGTCTTCTCTATAATTGCTTGGGCTTTCTAAATTAGAGAGATCACCTCCTCTTCCAAGTTCTGTCAATGCTTTTTATCACATTTAATGTCTTTGTGACTTCAAGGTTGTAGAGCATAAAAGGTACCACCCCCCACATTATGTTATCCCACATTATGATAGTTCTTAAAATTTCTTAGTTTGTCTAGTTTTAAATTTTTTTTAAAGGCACAAAATAACCAAAACCAAAAATGGATTATCACATAGGTAACATTTAATTAACAGTTTTTCCCCAAATAAAAATATTTGCAAGAAAATAAACAAACACTGCAGGCACCTATTATCTTTCAGAAAGCAACCACTGACAGAACTGCTCATTTATGATTAATACTGAGCTTATCATTCATTTCAACAATGGAAGAGTATAATTTACAAGTATAAATTTTTATTAAGCATAAAAATTTGTTTTTAATAAGCATAAAAAACAAATTCAGAACTTTATTAAATATTCAAAATTTTCACAGCACAACACTTCTAAGGCAACTAACTGTAAGTATTGTGATGAACTCAGCACCAATTTAATTCAGACATTTGTCTTCTGGGGAAAAATTAAAATGTTTCCACACAGATATTCTCTGCAACATGAAGAAACAGAAAACCAGTGTATTACTGACTTGCTAATTCGGTAGTATTCATATTCATTTCTCAAGGTTGAGATGCATGAGCAATCATCACGGCTCATTAATTCTGGATTCATGGGTACCTGGGAAAAAGTTTCTTTTTAAATTTGCTTACCATTTGAAGTGGATGCAATGACTTCATTTCTGCTGCAGAAATCTCAAAGAGTCCTTGGTCTTCTTCCAGAACTGTAGCTTGCCCCTTAAAATTAATATCTGGGTAGGCCAACCAACTAAATAAGAAATGAATAGTTAAAGTATGACAGCAATACTTTAGTCTGGTTCCTGTGAAAGTTAAAAGTAAAAAGGGCTACAAACAAACACAAAAACAAACACCCATCACAGAATACGCTAGTAAAACACACTCAAAGTGACTTTGCCAGACAGCAAAGAATGACATGTTAACACGTTATTAAGTACTTGCATTCAAACACTGCCCGTCCTATAATAAGTCCTATCTTATTATGTTTCCCAAGCACTAGGCAGTACTTTTCTTAAAACTTTCCAATGTTTAAAAGGTGTGAGCCCTTTAATTCAAGCAGCATATAACTGAAGTATCAATACCATTCCACTATATTACATTCCTTTGTAAAATTGGGGCAATCAGAGGTAGGGGTTCCACCAGACATTGTAAATCTTTCGCCTACATTTGTAGAATCAATATCAGTTCTATTGGCTGTCTCAGGAATAGTATTTGCAATAAGACTCCCAAAAGACCCACCTACCTCACTTCCAACTAACCTTGATAATTACAGACATTTCTCATGGATAGGGTCAATTGCTGGGTCTGCCCAAAAGTTCTTAATCCACGGCTGGGGAAGAAAGATGTCCTACAATGACCCCAAAATCCAATACCACTATCGTCAGAGCAGATGAAAATAGTGAACAAGAGAAGAGGGATCTACGTTGAACCAGGCATCTCAGAATTTGTGATTCTAGCCCATCTGGGACTGTGTGAGGGCTGAACTCAGACCTACAGCCCTGAAGATACCTTTGGAATCAGAAAGGCCTAGATGGGGACAAACCACTTAACTTCTTCATTTGTTAACATGAGAGTAGCTCCACCTGCCTTGTAGGAAATAGAGGAGCAATAAACACAAAAGTGCCATGTGCCTGGCACTGCAGAGACACTCAGTAACTATCAGCACTGAGACTCTCTAGAAATAGTTCAGGCCCCAGAACTGTAGGCCAGGGACATGGTTTTATTTCTCAGTCCTACAGTTTCATGGATGAAAAGACAATAGAATCATCTATCAAGACCTACGTCTGAAAATCTCTATCTGCTCCTGTGAGCCACATATCCAAGACATAACTGGATCCAAAGAAAGACAGAATCTGTTTAATCCCTGCAAGAGCCTTTCTTGGGTATCCAGGAGCAAAATGAAATTAAGTCAAACTTCAGGAATATGTAGGTCACCTACTGAAGAACGAAACGAAAAGTTAACTGGTGGCCATCAGTCACTGTAATACAGAGAAACTGATACGTACACTCCCGACTTCACAGTGAAGGACACAGATTTGGGGACGTTCAGTTCTTCCAAATTGGGGATGGCTCGCTGGATGTAGATAGGACCACACGCCGGGTCAGGGTGCAGGCAAAGTTCTATCTCTGGAACACTGCAATACTGAAAAAGAAAAGAAAAAAAAAAACTGGCTTTGAAATCGTCTAGAGACACACACAGTCCAGTATTCTCAACACTCTGGACGTGCAGTTACAATTGTTCTCATTGTTCAGCTGAATTTCTTCACAAGAACAACATAGAGGAAATACTGTTTCTCTGTACCAGGTTTTTACAACAAAATTTTCTAAGGAGTTACACTAATCACATGAAAATTGTAAGTATTACTGAAAATGTATGACCCCCAATTTTTTCTGCTTTGTTTTTAAAAGTCTTGTTCCATTAAGCAATGTTCAGAGTTGCAAACTACTTGAATGCCAAAAGTCGGTAAGCCTTCCTTCTTAGAAGTACAACAAAGCCATAGGGAGGAAGGGAGTTAAATGAAAGCTGGTCTCATGGGGGACATAAAAAATAAATAACAGAGAGGCACTACACCCTCAGTGCGCTATCTAATTTACATTGACAAAAGAAGTAGGAATTAGAGGTGAGGGGAAAGGAAATCTGTTTTCCTACTTGAGGTATTCTATTTATTTTCTTTAGTACAAGTTGGTTTGAAGAAAAAAGGCATTATAAAATTTGACTGTACACTCCGTCACACATGTGCTGTCACCATGTCCTGTCAAAACTTCCCTTAAAATTTCATTTGTGGATATCTCCTTAGGCATTCCCACTGTCAAGTCCCTTCATCAAGGCCGAGATTTCGATTATGGGCCTGTACCACCAATCAAGTACTAGCTACTCTATACAGCTGGGCTTGTTAGAACACCGCTTTCTTCATGACACTCCTTGGCTCCAGATCCAAGTATATCAAATTTATATTTTGGTTTCCCTCTCTGCAAAATGGCACCAACTAGTGATTTACACTAACTCTCCAAAACACCTCAGTCATACTGGTCTCCATGCTATCTCCACTCCTGCTCTGGCCTCTCTAAGCTTTTTAATGTTTCCCCCACTGCAATTAAAGAGATCATTCTCAGTTAGTTATAAGAATCTTTTAACAGTCAAGTTCTAACTCAAAAATGACTTTAGTTTTTCCTAACGAATTAAAGCCAGTTATTTTTCCCTTCTCTGAAATTACAAATGTGCTTCCTGTCTAAACACAAAATCTACCTCAGTTGTCATGAGTGTTTAATTATACAACTTAAATGTCAGTAGCGTAATTCTCATCTAGGACATTGTGAAACTCCAATGATTATGCTTTAATGAAACAGGTAAATGCATTAACAATCAGAGGTGACATTTAATGGACTGAACAACTGTATTTTTTTATTATAATCACTTTTACAATTTTAAAATTACCATTTTCTGATTTTTAAAACCTTTCTCCAAACTGAGTTCTCTTATTAATCATCAATCATTCTTATTAAGATGTAAAAGCCAGCAAATTGATGCACCTTAGTTTCAGAAAGTTAGTTCTAAAATGCAATACAGTAAAGAGGCACAACCTAAAATATTCTTTAAAGAATAAAAGTGTATTTCTTTCTAAAGTTTCATTTCAAAAATAGCCAGAAATGTCCAGAATAGTCACCTGCCAATCTTCAAGGCTCTTTTGTTTGCTATTAAGAATAGAGTTCTAGTAACATTATTTCAAATGCTGCCATATTCATGCTCCCCCAGGGATCTGAGGTACAGTAACAGAACACAAAACTAAGTGTCTCACACAAATTAGTTTCCTCTGCATTGTATTATACAAACAATGTTTGGGTGGTGCACTTTAAAAGGGAAAAAGCTAAGAGGCATTTGAGTCTACCACAACACAGAGGAAACAGCATAATGGAAAAAGCATGACAATGGCTTAAAAAAAAGGGAAAATAAACAAAAATAACGCTTACTTTCTCAACTATCTCTACTTGAGGACCCATTTTTTTTTTCTCTACTTGACTGAAAAAGATTTCACTGATAAGTTCTATCTTCTTCATGGTGGCTAACTCACAGAAAACTGTCTTTTGCAAGACTTGTATAATGCTTGATGGTGAAAGGCAGTAAATACTAGCAATTCAAGGGCGCTTTATAGTAGCCGAGCAACAATCAACAGTTTACTCTTAGTAAAAAAAAGTTTATATGGCTTCCTCCCAGACTTTTCTAGCCATGTTATATATACTTCACAAATATATCTTGGTAACATCTGCAAGCTTGGACTATTAAAGCAATTAGTAGGAAGGGAGACAAAGCTATAAGAGAGAAACAGGGTGGGAATGAATTAGTTAATAAAAACAATAAGAAAATCTAATTGTCTCCATCTTACATAAAATAACTTCAGTCACTGATATAACAACGGAGCTCTCTCTTTTTGGCTCATTAATGAGGGCACAACCTAAGTAACTTTGCAACATAAGACAAATGTCATTCCTTTAAAAAGATGTATTAAATGCATAATGACCCCAATAATTTGCAATATTCATTTCTTCTATTTGAGAAAAGAAAGCACTTGACTCAAGATTCACTGCACTGCTACCCCACCCCCAATTATTTCCATGGGGGCAAAGAGAACCCTGGGGCAGAATCAACAGCTGCTGAGAACTGATGGTGTCTGCTGTATCTACTCACAGCACAGCGAAGACATCATGAAAGCATTACCTTTAAAGAACAGTAAAGTTTTGACTAGTCAGAATAGAGGAACTAAAAGAGGATGAAACAAGATAAAGTTGGTGTTGGTCTAGGTGAGTTTAGAATGGCCGCCACGACAGTGAAGCTATCAATAGCCAGAATTTTGACAAGGTTGCAGAAAGGATGCAGTTTGATGCTGGAGTCTTACTTTGTACAATATTTAGAACAATGCTAATGCCTTTTCCATTCAATGCTCAATAGTTTTATTTTCCTTCCTCACGAAGAGTGGCGAGCCTGTTTAAGATATATGGGCACTAACACGCGGCAACTGAAAAATGACTGCAAGAACAAACAACGGAAGCAGAAAAAATGCAAACATGACTTATTCTTTCTTATAATACATTCAATGCAAATGGTGGATGTGCAAATACCCATTTATATACCCAAGCTGAACAGACTGAGGTTTTTTGTTTGAGTTTATTGTTGTTTGATTGGGGCCGGGGTGAGGAGGTGGCTGCTTACAATACCTTATTCATCGTTTTTCCCTCACTAGGCCCGGCATGGTGCCTGACATTCACAAGGAAGACACAAAACCATACGTTATTTAAGTCTTAGAAGATTCCACCTACAAACTGATTATTCATTTCCAGTGAGCCAGCTAATTAAGTGAGCACTGTATCGGGACCCTGCGCTCTGTGCTGTGGCCTCACCCTCCTGCAGCCACCAACATTCGCCTCTGTGTCTAACTCAGGTGGCTCTGCCAGGAACTCCCTCCCATATCCTGTGCTTCCTGACCGTGTTTCCTCTCCCAGGATTCCAGGCAGGTGCCACCTCCTCCAGGTGTGGCGTCTCTTTTTGGTGCACCTTTAAGCCATACAGCGCACTTCTCACGTCATGCAGTCATGTGACTCAGCTCTTTCTCCACTAGATGGTAAGAAATCTAAGAGACCAAATCTCACTTGCATTTCTATTCCCAGTGCCTATCACAGTATGGAGTCCAAAAGCAGACACAAATATTTGTAGACACAGGTTCATTCCAGTTTTATAGAAAGTATTAATTCACATAAAATACAGGCACACACCCCTGTATGAGTTTTTCTGTGTGCTATCTACAACTATCAAGGGTTTAATAACATCAATCCAGATCACCATGATAGGGTCCACTCAATTTTTACATTTTAAGCAAATAAAGAAAATTTCCATAATTTGAAAAAAATGTATATCCATGATTGTTATAGGAGTAATTGCACTAAATTATGAGCCATGTTGCTGCTGAAGGAACTCTTAAGAATACATGGAAGAATTCTCTCCTTATCTGACATCTAATTCACTCACCACAGCACTTCCCACAAAATGTTTAATACTGAAAGACCGTCCTAATTTTAGTATTCAGTGTTTTCTAAACAGAAAACTAAATGAAACCAATGCACCTTCCATTCCTCTTCCCATCCTTCCTTCTCTAATTTCTCCTCTCATCAATCATATCTGTCTCTCTCTCTGTCTCTTTCTCTCTCTCTCTCTCTCACACACACACACACACACACACACAGCTACACCAAGGAGTAGAAACCTACACCAGAAAAAGATATATCTATTTTCCTAAAGATGCCTGGATGGTATACTCTTCCTACTATAAATATATATATATATATATATATATATATATATATATATATATATATATATATATATATATATATATTTAGAGAGAGAGAGAGAGAGCACCAAAAAAGATGTATACACATTTTAAGAAAGGAAAAAAACTATTGACATTGTAATATTCAATATATACCAATAACAAAAGATGAATACAAGTCACGTTTGACTTCTGAAATTACAAGAGACGCTCAAAGTGTCCAGCGTCCAGACACTTCTGATTATGGTGAACTACTTCTTGAGCAATGTTGACCAAAATGTCCACTTGTATACATTTTTGTGGCACCACCAGTACATAGTGTGTGTGCGCGTGTGTGTGTGTGTGTGTGTGTGTGTGTGCGTGTGCTATTTTATGGGCCAGATTATAGGTAACATTTTAAATTAACAATTATTTAATGTTTTATAAGGTGAAAAGATTATCATTTAAATGATAAGGAAGAGTAATAAAATTAGCACAAAGTTTAGCAGCCATTTCTAAACACTGGTAGGCCAAAGTACAGCTTTACTACATAACAAACAAAACAAAATAAAAAATAGAGGAAAATCAACAGTTCTGTTACCTTTAAGACATGTTTGATGGAACCCAACACAAAGTTTCTTTGTGGATGCTTTCTGTTCTGAAGGGTCCAGTCACGATGTAACACCTTTTCTCCTTCCTCTAACACACATTTCTGACCTTGGAAATGTGGTTTCTCATATAAAATCCAGCTGAACAAATAGAAAAGCATCACCAGTTAGAATTAATTTTCTAAGAAATGAGGCATAAAACAAATGTTACCAAGTTAAGTCAGACCATCTTATCTATTTACATTGTAAAATCTGGTCTATTTTCCACAATTAGCATATAATCCTATTTTTGAAACGATGGTATATGCTAATTTAAGTATAAATAGTGTAAGAGAGAATAAAACTGCATACAACTTGGAAATAATACTTGCTGAGCACAGTACTACAATCTACGACTAGGCCTATGTTTATGCATGCATGTACTTTATAGATGCGATACACACAAAGCTATACATTTATATTAAAAACAATAGCTTAACAATTCCAAATTCCAATTCTACCCTAATTTTCCTGTCACTGGATAACAGAGCACATGTGTCCCATTTTATTACATGAACACAGCACTACACCATACTGCTTACACAACATGAATACTGACCAGTGGGTAACCAAAATACTAGACAAAGAAATTCTGGCTCCAACATGTCCATGGGACATGATGCATAAGAACAAATGATGTTTTCCCTCATTTTTATACCATATGAAGAATCCTTCATTTCTTGAGCATGTCAGCTATATATACAAGTGACATTAAGTATGTGGCCATCACATTCTTTAGCATTCCCACAAATTTTGAACTCATTTTCAAAACTATGCTTCATTTAACTGAAGCCCTCAGGTCAACCTGCCAAATCTGTCCTGCTAATAATGCAGTTACACAATGGTACTGATGGTACGAGGTGTGAACAAAAGATACGGTGAATGTTTAAATTTAAAAAAATGTATTACAGTAAGAGACACATTGCCATTAGTCCCCCTCAAAATATCCCCCTCCCCTCAGTTGGAACACACTTATCCCATCGTTCTTGCCACTTTCTGAAGCAGTTCTGGAAGTACTTTTCGTGAATGTCTTTAGTTGCATTACAGTATGTCCTCATCCACCTTATTCATTGGATCTGCCACCATGCGACTTCTGGCTCTTTCCCCAAAGTCAAAATGATTCCATAACATCGAGGCAGCCATGACAGCGCAACTAAAGACACAAAAGAGGACTTCCAGAACTGCTGCAGAAAGTGGCAAGAACAATGGGAGAACAATGTGTGAAGCAAAGGGGAGTATTCTGAGGGGAATTAATGGCAATGTGTCTTTTACAGTAATTAATTTTTTTAATTTAAACACTTACTATATTGTTTGATCACACCTCATATATTAGATCTTGCTATTTACTGCTGGCTTTAAGCACTAAAAAAAGCCTGTATTATCTGCCCCAGTAAATAAAAAGAACAATTAAGTTATAAATATTTCACAATATTCTGTCAAAAACTAGAGAAAACGGAATATGACTTTAATAAAAAAATATAAAAGCATAAATGGCAAAAAAACCACATTTAATTCTGGGGGGGAAAACACTATAAAATTTTAAGAGATCTCTTACCAGCCCCTTACAACTTTTATCAGTACCCCATTCGGAAAGGACCATGATGTAGCATCAAGAATATTACAATAGACCTCTTGTTTATATTTACTTCCATGGAGATCATAGATAACCATCTGCAACACATAGAAAGTAGACACAATAACTAATTTTAAGAATGCATTTAAAATTCTAAAAAAGTTCTAGAATATAGAAAATATCCTAAATATATAAAAGTAATCATTACGTTAGATGTTAGATCCTTGAGTAAAATAATCCTTTTTTAAGTCAGTTAAAAGTATTTAAACTCCCCGAACCTAAAAGTAACTGTAACTTTTCATACTGTATCTCAGTCTACATAAGAAACTTATGCTTACCTTCCCAGGTCTTGGGTTACACCTCAGAGTTTGTCTGTCAACATTCTGAAATAACAAAGGCAGAAGTAAGCCTAAAGGAACATCAGTTGAAAGATACAGTTCGCTTAATTCTTAGCAGTCACAAATCCAATTTGTCACATATTTACGTAGTAATGCTATGTGCAAAGTGTACCTTTGGGTATTACAGCGAATATAAAGGTCAACATAAAGGAACATAATGTGTTGTCTCTGCTCTCAAGAGGCTTACAGCTTAGAAAGGAGAAACATGATTACACTCACATGACTCTTCTAAGTGGGGGACTAAGTTAAACCCATAGGCAAAGTACAAAGAAAATGCCTAGTTATGGAGCTGAAGGGAAATGGCACCAGCATGGACGTGAAGCGATGGCAGAGAGAGATTCACAAGAGGCTGTATGAAGAACTGGTATGGAGAAGACCTTGAAAAACAGGATTTCAATAAGGGAAAATTGTGGCAGGTTGGGCTTGGGTGCAGTAAAGAAAAAAATTCCAGGAAGAGAACCATCTTGAGAAAAAGTATGGTAGTAGGAAACACAGGGTGTGTAACCAGAGCATATGGAGGCAAGTTGCACAAACAGAATTTGGGGGCCTTGTAATACAGAGTGAAGAGATTCCACTTGATTTGGTAGGCAATGCAGAACCGTTAAAGAAACATTTCTTCAAATCCCATCATTTCTTTTAAAACGGCTTGCCTTGCAAACCATTGGTTGGTATTCAAGTACTAGTATTTGCTCCAAAGGTTATTCCGGGTAAAGATGCAGGCCTTTGGGTATCCTACAGAAAGTCCCATAGTCTTGGGAATGCCAGAAAGTAAAGTCCCACATTCAATGAATATTCTATATTAGACATTTAAACATTTCTAAGTAAAAAATGTAACCAAATTTCAAGACATTTTCCAACTATAATGTTTTCAGCTCTTTTTCTCTGAATTAAGCTGTTTATTGTCCTGCTTTGCATGAATAACATGAGCAGCTAAAGTGAGAGGTTGTTGTCAAGCAAACACTTAAAGTATTTCAAATATTTTTAAATATTATGAAATATTTTCATGACACATAAGCTCAATGAAAAGTATCAATTTTCTCATATACAGTACCTTGAGAAATTCAGAATGTTGTCACTTAAGTTTGAAAACTAAATATAGCAAAGAACTGGAAAATAACTTCCTTCTCTGCCTTTAAATTTTGACCAATTTTTTCTCAGTGTAACAGTTCAAATACATGAGTTCATGAGACACATCAACCAAACAATAAAGTAACCTCCGATATTTTTTAAAACAATCTTTACACCACCTCAAAAAATTTTCTTAATGTTTTAGATCATCTCATGACACAAAACACTACTTCGCTAGTTAATCAAAATAACTTACCTCTGTGAATGGGCTTAATCTGCCTGAGTTGTCTTGAGTACAGAAATATTTTGACACTGGTTCCTGCAAAGTCCCACCAAATCTGGCTCCTTTTTCTGAGGACTGGGTTTTAGAAGTCTGCAAATATTGATGATAAGCGCTCCTTAAGGAAGAATGTAGTTTAGAAGTAAGGTCTGATTTTTGTGGAAATGAGGCCTTTTCTGGCCACAGACCAATTTGCAGATTGGGCGTAGGAGGTTCATTTGACTTCAAACATGAATTCTTGGCAATTCCAGTCCTTTCCTCATCATCATCAGGGTAGAATGTGCTGGAAGGATCCGGCAGCTTGAAGGTGACGGTTTCCCCTCTCCTAGCTCTCAGACTTCCTTTATGCAATGATTCTTCTTCCTCCTCCTCCTCCTCCTCCTCCTCCCCTAATTCCTGCCTGTCATCCTCATCAAAATTCATCTTCAAACGCTCGGATACCGACTGGAGAAGTGATAAAACAGAAGAGGGCTGGTTTGCACTCTCTCTAGATTTTGTGGAGCCATGATGACCAGGTGAGACCTCGTTGGACAGAATGTCCTCCTGAGAGCTGTCATCCTCATAAATGGGAGACAAAGCTAAGGGATAAATTTTGTACCTTTTGGCCTCCACTGACAAGAACATTTCTGAACTATCACTATCAAATGTCTCACCTAATTTAGTATCCTTTTCAAAATGATGGACCAGGTCAGTTCTACTCTCTGACCTTTCACATGTGAGAACAGGCATGCTGTCAGTGGATGTATCAGGAAACGAGAGTGTGTGTGTTCTTCTTACTTCTGCAGTAGCATACTTGTCCTCATCTTGAAGGGGTTCTTCATATAATATAGTAAAGGAAGAATTTTCTTGCTCATCCTGAGGAATGAAGGCTAAGTTAGATTGTTCTTTTTCATCGCTATAACCACCTAGATCTCTTGTTTCGTTATCAGCTGCAGTGACAGATGTTCTTTTGTCTAGCCTTCCCATGGTATCTGCAGGTTGAAAATATGGCACTGCTAAGGCTGGGTAGCCTTCATAATCCTTACTTAATGTAGGTGATTCATAGCCCCTGAAATACGAGGCAAATCTATGGTCACGCGCTATCAAATCTTGCTTTACTTCGGTGTGCCCTTCCTCCATTTCTCCAATACTCCCTTTGGCATATTCTTGGGGTGCTTTTTCAGTTTCAAATACGGGAGGCACGGCCTCTGCTTGTGTAATGGGCAATTCCAGACCCATTCCATATGTTGTCTCCACATTTACCACTGCAGGTAACATCTGGTGTTTCCTGACAGTTCCATCAGAATCTTCTGGGGATGTTCTTTCCATTTCTATCATAGAGGGCATGGACACAATCGTTCGAGGAGTCTCTTTAGCATCCCTCTTGCATGCTTTTCCCATTTCTAAGGAGACAGGGGCTGCCTTCTTGGGGGCTTTATTTACTTCCAATGCAAAAGGTACCATTTCAGTTTTCCTACTAACCCCATCTGCATCCTCCTGGTAAATGTTTTCCATTTCCAACACAGGTGTCTCAGTCTTTTCAGTGATCCCCTCGGCATCTTTATGGTCGACATTTACTTCTAACATAATGGGCGTCATCTCAGTTTTGTCCATATCCCCTTCAGCGTCCTTTGGGTAAATTTTTTCCATTTCTAATGTAGCAGGCATCACTTCTGTCTTCACAGTAACCCCCTCAGCATCTTTTTGGTAGATACTTTCCATTTCTGACAGAGCCGATGTCACCCCGGTCTTGCGAACATCACCTTCGGCATGCTTTTGGTAAATTTTTTCCATTTCTAATGTAGCAGGCATCACTTCTGTCTTTACAGTAATCCCCTCAGCATCCTTTTGATAGAGATTTTTCACTTCTGACACAACAGGCACCATGTCCGTTTTGCCAATATCCCTTTCAGTATCTCCCATCTTAGAAGTTTTTTCCATTCTTAAAATGGCAGGCAATCCCTCAGTTTTTTCAATATACCTCTCAGCATCCATTTGGTGTACTTCATGCATTTTAAAACTGTCAGTCGTTGGCTCAGTTTTTGTGCTAGTCAATTCGTCATCCTTTTTATGTGTTCCTCCCAGTTCTGACACCGGAGGGACTGCCTCATTTTTCATAATATTCAATTCAGCAGCCTTTCTGTTTGTTCTTCCTATTTCTAACATGGAAGGTATAAGCTCTATTTTTCCTATATTTACTTCAGTATCCTTTCTGTGTGCTTTCCCTACTTCTGACATTGCAAGGGTTGTGCTTTTATTACTGTGTCCTGGCAAGGCTTTTTCAGATATACACACAAGGCTATCAGACAAACTGTTTTTGGATGTCCCAGATACATGGATGTCATCATTTGGAAATGGAGGCCATTTGAAATTTAATACAAGAGTTCTAGCATCCTCTGTCCCATTTTTGTGATTATCCCCACACTCTATTTCCATTTGCTCTTTAGAGTCTTCTTTGAGAAATAAATGTGTTTTTACCCCATCATCTAACTCTTCATGAGAAATGTTTTCAGCTAGTAAAACAGTATCTGATTCTGGAAAGTTTATGCCATCAGACTGTCCAGCTCCATTTCCAGAAAATGCGGATTCTTGGTAGGGAACAATTTCTCTTCCTTTAATTGACTCTGTGTCACTAAGTAAGTTACTTATAGAGAAGAACTGAGCTAATACTTTATTTTCACTAATTTCACATGTGGTTTGATTTACTTCCTGTTCAGACACCAAGAACTCCCTTACTGTATCATGAGGCTCAACACCATTACTGTTCAGAATTTTTGAAGTATTAGTCTGAAGTTCAGAATCCCAGGTAGCCTCAATATCTTCAAGAGCATCGTTTGTTATATTTTCTCGGGCTAAATTAATAACCTCATTGACTAATTCCCTGGCTTGATCTTCTAACAAACAAGATACATTCATTCCTTCAAAATCAAAAAGGGGACTCTTCTCACCAGCTGTAGGAGAAACACAGGTCTTTTCTTCCCCTTGAACTACTGCTATGTTTTCCATGTCCTGCTCTTCCAAATGCTCTGTTAGCTGGATCCCTGACAATATCACTTCTGATGGGTTTTTCTCAGGAATGTCTTCTTTCAGGGGACCAGGGTTCATGACACCGTCTACAGCTAGACGTTCCTGGCAGATATCAACTGTGTGTTTGGATTTCAGTTCTTCCCTGACAGAATTAAAAATCTCACCAATCAATCTATCAGCCTTTTGAACCGAGCCACTTTTGAGGTCCAAAAGTTGGTCACGTGTTCCCCTCCTTGCTTCTCTATGCTCAGCAGATGCCTCAGAACACCGCTGGCTTGGGCTGTTAACTGACGCTGGAGCCCCAGCAACTGCTCCAGGCTCTGCTTCCCTGGGGCTGTCAAAACGGGCAGCTGTTGGGAAATCCAGAGATACCTTCCCAGCATGATTCCCAAAATGTTCCTGACGTGGGGTCACTTCTGCCCCTGTTGGGACAGATGTTTCAAATTCCAAATAAGAGCTGTTGGGGGAGAGCAGGTTAGTTAAGGAGGTACCATCACATGTGACATCTGTGGTAACTTTTACAGAACCCAAATTACTTGGGGGATCATGTGAACTTGTAGCCGTGCTGACTTCTTCAGCATTACTAGAGGAAGACAAACTAGCAAAACCGCCACTGAGGAAAGAACTGTTCTCTTTCTTTTTGTGAGAGGAGGCTTTCTTTTCTGATCTCAACACAGAAGGAACATTAAGAAAGCTTGAATCCTCAGATGCACAAGGTTTTTCTTCCAAACTGATATCAGAACCCAGAAAAGGTGAATGTGCTTTTGTGCTGTCAGTTTCTTGGAATTTTGGAGAAGTATTAGTTAAGCTGAGCTCTGCCATTTCTGAGAAACCAGGCATCTTTTTAGACCCACAAATATCTGAAGGTTGACAAGTGTTGGCTTCACAATTCTGTGCCATTTGCCTGGTGACGTTTTCATCATAAATAGGAGGTAATATTTCAGGTGTATTATTTCTGAGTAAAGCAGAATAACCTAAGGTTTCTACCTCTGTTTCCTGGATAACTTGATATGTGGGGACAGAAGGAGGAACCTCAGCTTGGCAAGTCTCTTTAAACCCTGCATCTGAATATTTCTCTTTAATCTCACTAGGATCCAGCAACTGAAAACTTTTATCCTGTTCAACCTCTAGGGAAGTTAATTCAGACTTTGCTGGCGTATCTGTAATTTCAAATGGAGAAAAAACTTTATCCTGAGACATGTCTCTAGGCTCTGTTTGGAAAACAGGTGTCTTGCAGGGGGCTATAGTTTTTCCTCTTCCCGGATGTGACGCAACAGAATCACTGTTCAGACCACAAACTTCAGCCATGTTACCAGTTTTAGTTTCCAAGGAAAGGGAATCAGGCTTCTCTATAGCGCTCTGTCTTACTTTAGTGTTTGAAGGCATTAACTCTGCTTTATTAGTGTCTTGAGATGATGTGGAACCGTGGTCCTCAGAGAGGCTTTCAGACTCAAATCTCGAGTCCACTTCGGTTAAGTGGGTGTCACTGGCTTCAAGATCGAGTGGAACCTGGCATTTTTCACTATCAGGACGACCTTCCTTAGATTCAAGAAGTGCAGATACATGCTCAAGGTGAAGGCCAGCTGCAGGACTCTTCCCATCTGCAGCCTCAACATGATTCACATTTTCTTCTTGACACGTAGTAGGCTGACTGGAAATTCCAGCAATGCTGACATCCCCAGTTTCGATGAACACAGAAGACCCCTCCTTCTTTAAAACAGGAACATCCAACCTGCTAAGCATGCCAACTCCAGGAACAAAGGTAGGAGATGAAGCATTGAAATTTGATTTTGTGTGATCCAGGGTAAGAGATGTTCTGGTATCAGGTGACACTTTGGCTCGTTGAGGACTCTCAGAGTCAAGCAGAGATTCTGAAATGTTATTTTTGTGAAGCTCAAAAGTCAGTTCAGGAGTTTTTTGGTTTTCTAAGCATGCTACAACTACTGATTCACCTATGCATTTTGCAGTGGCAGGGTCCTTTTGATTTATTCTGGGAATGGGAGGCATTTTGCCATGTGGCCCCAAATCAAGCTTTTTGGCTTCTGTTACAAGCAACTGGTCAGTATCTTTGGGTAGTGACTCAATTCTGTCTTCTGGAGCTTTTAGATGACCTGAAGTTGTGAGTTTGCCAACTGAGACACTTTCTGTTTCTTGCTTGATTTCTGCAACAGCCACATTTTTCTGTGCATCTTGGGCGGACAACCTGTTTCCTTCATTTACAAGCTCTGTGTCTGTCACAGCAAGTCTCTGAAGAGCAGTGGCGCTGCTGTGATTGGCAGCCTGCTTTGATGAGTTATCTATGGTTTGCTTGTCAGGATACTTACTCTCTGGCAACTGCAGATCCTCAGGTCTAATTGATTTATTTGGACTTGGCACACCTGCACTTTCCTGTTTGGTAGTGTGACTTCCATCAGATTTACTACAAGAGAAGTCAGAAATAGCAGGGCTCTCAGGCTCGACTTGCGCTTCCCTTGGCACTAGCGGCCCGTCACTCACCACCGAGCTGTTTTCTGTTATTGCAGTTTCTGTTGTAGTTGTCCTCTGAAAGTCTGGACGGCAGGGAGCAGCGCTACTGTTACTTCCTGTGAACAATGTTGAACATACCAAATTTCTGTCAGTCTGAGAAACTGGTACACAACTTAAATGGGGCTGTGAGTCATATTTTCCAAGAGCGGAGCTGGAGTTAGTCACAGAAGAAGGGAATGACCTACTTCTCTCAGGTCCCCTAGGATCATTTTTATTTAAAACATCCTTGAAAGAGGCAATATTTGGCACTTGTGGATTGTTTGTCAGATGGCTTTCTGGGTCAAGATTTATTGAGCTACAATCAGAGTCTTCTAATGGGCCTCCAAGCATTTGTCCTTTCATAGCTACATCAGTGCTAGATGATGACAAACATGGCAGCGTCACAGCCTCCATCTCACTCCCAGGGACAACGTGTGTGTTTATACTAGAGTCAGAGCTTCCATTTTCTCTGTCCAATGGAGTCACAGTTTCTAACATGGTCTGTTGTTTCAAATATTTCCTAATCTGTCTGGGGCCTCGGTATGTTGCGTATGTTACTGAAGGCCTCTCTGGTTTACCATCCATTTGTCTGTAAAAAGAAACAGCATGTGAGTATCAGGAAATATAATTAGTAACACTTAACAGTAATCCCAGAAACGGTGGTGAAGTGTATCTCATAATAGGGATGGCTTTTAACTTTTCTATGTAAAGAAAAGCTACAAAACCAGCAAATTATTTTTTTCAAGTCACAATAAAGCTTTGACAGTAGAGATTCCTGTGATATACCAATCTTTGAAAATATAAGAATTATAGAATTTTGTAAAGAATTTCAACCCAATATTGAAGTAGCTTCCTATATAAATTATACAAGAAGCATGAGTTAATGTATGGAAAACAATCTAAAAAATGTTACCTAATAGGTGTACTTAAATGCTTTACAGATATTAAAAAGGAAATTTGCATAGTCAGCTATACATAAAAATAATTACAAGCTGTTCGTTATTTTTAATTAAGTGAAGATGAAATAATTTACAATGACTTTTGATGAGGATTTCTTTTAAAAATACTTCAAAATATAGAAAACTTGTCTAAATTTTCAAAACTGCATTAATCATGATTAATAGTGATCAAAATATGTTTGATACTATAGTAATGGAGAGCATTATACAGCAAAGGTTATTTTATTAACTTGTCTAAATTAAGCTATTAACACTTTTTTATTATTACTATTAGTTTCAGGTGTACAGAACAATGCAATAGTTATCCTTTTCACCCTTCACAAAGTAACAACCCCCTCCCCCGATCAACTGCCCTCCCACCCCCGAAATCATACTTATCTATTACAATTCCATTGACTCCATTCCCACACTCTACTCCACATCCCATGACTATCTATATATTAAATTATAGTTGACATACAATATTATTCAACATCCGCTTCAGAAATATAGTGCGGTGGTCAGGCCTCTACACCGTCTATGAAGTGGTCTCCCTAACAAGACATGAGTCCATCTGGCCCCCTAAAAATATTTACAACATTACTGATTATCTTCCCCAGACTGTCTTTTCTATCCCTGAGGCAATATTGTAGTTACCAATTTGTATTGTCTCGTCCCTTCCCCTTCTCCTTCATCCCCACCCCCTCCCAACTAACAACCTCAGTTTTTCCTCTGTGTCTCTGAGACTATTTCTGTTTACCCTTCTCATTTATTTAGCTATTAACCCTTATTTAATACATCCTAATATCTCTAAAAAAAAAATTCGGGGCATTTTTACACGAGAAAGACAATGCAAAGCCTTCAGTTAATTTGCACTTTCTTAAAATAGTTCAAATTTTTATGTGAAACTGAAATCTAGTAATTTCAAAAGTCTAGGTTCTTAATTTTACATAACATTTTATATTTGAAATATTCTCATGATCTCAATAAAAAATATATCCTTGCGTGCAATAAATTCATATCACAGAACCAAAGGAACAACTTTAATATTAAAAATGTAGATTCTCAAAATTATTAATAAATTATCTTCTCCAGGTATATTATGTATATAATATCTAAAAATCGGTTACAAGCAGTCCTTAACTATACCATTAAAATAAACTATTAACCAAAATGGTAGTCAACTTTCATATGATAATTCCTAAACAAATTGACAATCCTCAACAGGCAGTTACTAAAACTGTAATTCACAACATGATAATCTGTAGGATTTCTAAAGCTGGGTTGGAAGAAACCTGTTACTTCAGTCAAACTGGGAGTCCAGTGGTCTTTTCCTTTCCTCTTAAGTCAAGAATCAGTTTTCAGTTGTAAAAGATCTAAAGATTGCAGTAGCTGTGGCAGATAGATGAATTTCTTCCTGGGGAATTTTCCAATATAGCCAAGTGATCTTGGGTCCCATAGCCAGTGTCTACCCTTGAAATTGGACTTGGAGGAGTTGGAAACTTCTTATACAGTGTCTACCAGCTGTTCCTATTGTTACTAATTCCTATTATTGTTATTAACTGTGCAATTTGGGAGGTGTTACTTAACTTTCTGAGCCTTGTTTCCTTATTTAAAAAGAAATACAGATGAAAACAAAACAAAACAAAAAAAGAATCACCTTTCTTTGCTGAGGTGGTTCAGTGAACTGCATTAAATATTCTATTAACACGGAGGGCTTTACTAACGGGAATTAAGAGTCATTATGCCATTTTCCATTGTCTAGTACCAAAGAAATAAACCTGACTGACAAGGAGAAAATTCTGAGATGATCTTGAGTAGAAATTACAGAGGCCAGAGAGTGAAAGACAGAGACAGAAGAGATAGCCTGTTAATAGCTGTGGAGCAGTTCTGACAAAAGACTGCTCACGTTCCTGTAATTCCTGTGTATCTGTTGCAACTTCAGAATAATTTCCAGGTGGCTATTTTTGCTGATTATTTTGGCCAGACACTATCAAGCTCCAGAAGCCTCCGCTTTTTGCTTACAAGTGGGCTGCCCACAGCCAATCCACAGGAGCGTACATTTCTGTGCAGGCTCCACACCTATCCCAGAGCTGGTCCTGCTTCACTTTCTCCCGCCCCTCTGCCTATAGCTAACGTAACTTCTTTCGGATGGTGTGCATCTTTCTGCCCCCTTCCTCCTACTTGATGTATAAAAATGCTTACAAAGGCTGAGAGGATGGACCCGTCTTTCCTATCGAGCCATGCTGCTAGTGGTTTCAGCTCCATGCCCCAAGATGCGTCTTCCTTTTTGGCTAGCAATGGCCCAATAAACCTTTTCTTTTAAAAACACTTGCACCAGTGAAAGCTATATTTTTGTTTTTGTTCAATATGGCCTATTAATTGAAACCAAAGGAGAAAAAGCACAAGCTCTCTGTTCTACCCAATTCCCATGTAAGAGCCTCAAAATCCCCACCATTTTAAGTTACTTTGGAACCAAAGTCTCTTGGAGAGGTTGTTAGAAGATTGCTGGGACCCAAGCCCACAGCTGTTGATTCAGTGGGTCTGAAGCAGATAATTTGCATTTCTAATGACTCCCAGGTAATGCTGTGATGCTGCTCCAAGGGCCACATTTTGAATAGCACTGCTTTAGACATCCTTTATTGGGGATGTACCCCAATTTAACCTTTTTTTTTTTTTGCTGTTGGACATTTGCTTCCAATTATATATTCCTATGATGTTTCAATAAACACCTTTGTACATTACTATAAATACGTAATCTACAAGCTGTTTAAGGTTCTTGATATTGTCCTAAAAAAACGTGTTCTCCACTCCTAACAGTACATAAGAGCATTAGCCATTTTCAGCATGACTCATACAGAGTATTATCATTCATTATTAGTTACCAATTGAATAGAAGTAACCTCATTTTAGTTTGTATTTCCTTGATTGCTGGTGAGAACAAACCTTTTACCCACTTATTACCAGTTTATATTTCCTTTATTTGAATGATTTGTTTATATTGTTTGCCCATTTTTTTCTATTGGTAAGTTAGTATCTAAAATGCTTATCAGTTAAAGCACGATGGGACATTTTTCATATATAATTTTCTCATTGCCAATTTAACGTATGCTATTTGATATAAGGGAGTTTGAAAACTGGAAGTAATCCAATCTACTGATCTGCTATTTCCTGATCCCTTCATTGCTATCATGCTTAGAAAATTGTTTCTCCCCAAAATAAAGTAATTCACATTTAGCTACTTTTAGTTTTGTATGTTTTAACAGATCTGTTATGCCTTTTCAACTAATTTTAATATAAAAATGAGATAAGTACCTAGCTTTGATTTTTTTCCTTTAAATTGTTAAACCAATTTCCCAAATTCCTCTTTCTACTACAAAAAGATGTAATGCCATCATATTCAAGGGTTCAAATCAGAAATATACAAGGGCCTATTTCCAGACTGTCTATTCTGTTCCATTTAAATGGCTAGCAAATATTATTACACTAGTATGACATGGTTTTAATTAGTGTAGCTTTATTAACATCGGGTAGAGCAAGCCCCACTGCATCATTTTTGACAGGCAAACACAACTCTATCTGTTCTCAGAACTGTAAGATGGCTCTGTGGCTACCTCATAAGCTTGCTATAAGGAATTAACTGAAAGCACACACATGAAGACAAGAAAGCACACACTCTGCAACTACAAAAAACTACATAGTTCTAAGTTGTTACCTATATTTAGCCATACTATTATTATGACCTCTTCAAATAATAAAAATAATTTATAGATAGAGATTAAATTAAAATCAATAAAACAGATCCGTATCAGTTTTGAAGGAATATTTTTGTTATGCAAAACATCTAATGGGTTCAGCACTGTTGTAAACATTTTGGGGGCTAAAAAATATTCCTTCTACTGCAAATTGGTACAGCCACTATGGAAAACAGTATGGAGGTGCCTCAAAAAAAATTAAAAATTGAACTACCTTATGACCCAGCAATTCCACGTCTGGGTATTTATCCTAAGAAATCCAAAACACGAATTTGAAAAGATACATGCATCCCTATGTTCACTGAAGCATTATATATGACAGCCAAGATATGAAAGCGACTGAAGTGTCCATTGACAGGTGACTGGATAAAGATGTGGTACATATATACGATGGAATATTACTCTTCCTTAAAAAAGAATGAAATCTTACCATTTGCAACAACATGGATGGACCTAGTGAAATAAGTCAGACAGAGAAAGACAAATACCATGATTTCACTGTTATGTGGAATCTTAAAAACAAAATAAACATACAAATAAAACAGAAACAAACTCACAGATACAGAGAACAAGCTGATGGTTGCCAGAAGAAAGTGGGGTTAGAGGACTGGGTGAAAAAAGTGAAGGGATTAAGAAGTACCAACTGGCAGTTACAAATTAGTCATGGGAGTTAAGTACAGCACAGAGAACATAGTAAAAAATATTACAATAACTACGTATGGTGTCCAGTGAGTACTCTACTTATCGGGGGGATAACTTTGTAAGTTATATAAACGTCTAACCACTATGCTGTACACCTAAAACTAATATAATATTTAATGTCAACTGTAATTAAAAAAGAAAAAATAACATTCCTTTTAGCTCATCTAAGTAAAAGAAAAACAAGTTAGTGGCTGTTTGTTAATCAAACAAACAAAAAAGGGTGGTGAAATGCTCCTTAAATTTGTGCAAGATGTCAGTTTCTTATAGCTGTGAAAAGGTTCATAAGGCTAGTATTATGAATAGAGTCGATTTAATTTCTCTTTTTAACCTCTATAATTATATTCCACAAAGAAAAGATACTGATATAATATGAATACAAACCTTAGGACCATTTTGTTCCCAAAATGAAGACACTGAACACATTACCTGTCCTATACAGGAAAAATTCAGATAAAAAAATACTCAAAGAAGTATTAAATTAGAAATAAATCTTGTCTTGTACTATGACAAAGCACCTGAAAAGTTATCAGTATCACCCCCTAAAATGGCTCAAAAGGTCGTAGATTAACAGGTATGGTACACAGAATCATACAATTTTTTTACCCAATAGCAGGAACATTACAGAATACATTTTCCAATCCCTTTAATTAATAGGAGTATAACTAAGGATCAAAAGCTAGGTCCAAAAGCTCAAAGCTTTGCTTCAAGTAAATTTTAAACTTACTTTATTAAGTCACTGGGTTCCTGTTCACTGTCTTGTGTTGTATCCAAAGAAAAGGCATCTGAGAGTTCAGTGGAGTTAGAGTCTTGTTCTCCTGCCAGAAGCGCCTGGGCTCCCAGGGAGCCACTGGAAGTCGCCCTCTCCTTTTTGATCCCTTCCTCAGGACGGTCACTGGGATTTCGTAAGCCTTTCTCAGTTTTGTCATGGTCATCTTTTAAAGAAGATTGCTTGGCTTCACCAAGAGATGATTTTCCTGAGATATTGAATAAGTTACCAAGAAACTGAAAAAAGCTTTCTTTTGGCTGTCGATCACTTTCTGTTTTGCTCTCTGAAGCGGAGCCCAAAAGGTCATTTGGCTTTTTGGAATCTTCCTGCCCTGGAAGAGTGATTAGCTTCTCAGCATGGTTCCTTTTGTCCTCGCTTTGGGGAATCTTTGAAAACAAAATAGAGAATAACAAGCATCACCATTTAAGAATAAGACTGATGGCTTCTATTCCCTTGGGCTGTTTACAATCTACTGCAGGGAACAGTCAGCACAACTTGAACAAAGCTGTATAGTAAACGTCACAAACGGAGAGGTATGGCACACGTGGGAATCCAGGAGTAACCAGTTCAGATTTGGTGGCGGTGAGAACAGAGAAGTGCCCTCTGAAGAGACCTAAAAAGTCACTACTACGTGATGCTCCTGCATCTGCTTCCCTCTCTCCTCTCTCCCCCCTCCCCATTCCCCTCCTCTCTCTCCCCTTCTCAGTGTACGGTGAGGTTATCAGCTTCTAAGGAGTTCAGTGACTGGAGGTGAGGTTGGAAAATGAGAAGAGTAAGGGGTAAGTATGGAGAGACAAGGAGAGGAACAGATCATGATAAACCTTAGGTGTATTTAAAATTTATCCTTTATGCTTGCAGAGCTAATGGACAGTATTTTCAAACACTGAGCATATTAGACAAATAATACCTAAATAGCCTTCATCATTTCGGCAGTGCCTTCACCCACGAGGCTGCCACGTTATGTAAAACCGTTCCTCACACGAGAAACAACAGCAACGCGGTGCATCAATTCAGAGGAAAAGCCCACTGTGAACTCTTCACGGTAACACAGAGTTCTGATATGGGCATTACTGCAAACCGCGGACAGCGCCGGAATTCCTGCAGACGGTAAGCACTTCCAGAGGTGCATTTTACTGGCTCGTAAGTAGTAGTAAAGCAAACCCATCCATGTTTACTATGTGTGAGGAAAGGCTGACCTGCTGTATCAAGGAGCGTGCTGGCACTCCACCCCACACTCTTCCCTAAAGCTTCCTCAGCTTAGGCCAGCCTGCCAACCCGCCCTGCCTCCCAAGCATGCTTGCTCACCTACTCGTAACAGGAATGCGCACCTGACATTATCTGTCAGATGTTATGTTCACTGGTGCTTACAGAAAGAAAGCTCAAGTGTGAGTCAGAAAAAAACGATCAGGACACGAGGTAAAACCGCCTTAGGGCACTGTAGGTTCACGTGACAGTGTTTTGTAAGAAGCTGATCTTTAAAAAGGCAGGAGCTTCATAATTATACTGTCATTTGTTCACCTAGTTCCACGTTTTAATCCAAATGCAAAACAGTTCAAAGGAGTGTTCCATTAACCACTAATAAAATTTAGCATACGAAAGGATGAGAAAAATGTTCAGAATCCATTAGCCCAGGAAATTCATTTCCAGCCAACAGTATTTTAAGTGTGTTCCCACCTTAGGTAACAGAGGGTATTTTTAACGAAACACATAGCATTTTTCTATGTGTTAGGACCTTAATATAACCTGTGAGTCTCTGCATTTAGAACATCACCAGCCTCCTGGAGTCACTCAAGTCTCACCTTTCACTGGTTTCAGCTAAACCTTGATCTTACTCGACTCCATCTCATCCAGCCAACCTTCTGCTCATCATGGGAGCTGCACCCACTCCTCGTATAAATCGCATAAACGGCCTCTCAGTTTGGCAGTACAAGATATGCTAGGTGACATTTTGAAAATGCTCACGTGTGTGAAAGATACACATTTTTTTTGTCCCTTACTCCATTTAATTTGATGTAATTTCCAGCCACAATATTCCTTCCCGAGTCAAAATGAACTAACACTGTGACATGAATAGAACCGTTACTTTTTTCTATAACTAGTATGAATAACAACTTATCCTGGGTAGTTACTTATTATAATATCATAGATATCCTTAAAAAGCTAGAGAGATTCACAGTCTTATAAAATCAGAGCAATGGATTAAAAAGGGAAAATTAGGAGAACCAGGAAATTAAGAGAACATTTTGACTATCAATAAAATATCAAGACAAGTAATTTCTGTCAAAAATAGTATTTATTTCACTACATTATTTTTACTTGACAATTCCTTTCAAAGTATAATAGACTGGTTTCTAAACAAGGAGACTACATTTTGCTAACCTAACGAAAGCATTCACATTTAACCTTTTTAAAGACACACACACACACACACACACACACACACACACACACACACTTTTTAAATCACTGGTTTCTCCTTCCCCTCAATTTTCAGCTGCTTTGCTTTCCTAGAATTCTCATATCTTTGGTTTACTGAAGAGCATATTTTTCAGTTTCCTAAAATGTCTTAATTTTTCCCTAATGATCTTATGAGAAATTTGTATCATTAAAATACCCTCAACCAGAAAAAAGTATCTAAATTTAGAAACAAAAACTAGCAGAAAAGAACACTGATATTCCAAGTAAACACAATAAATTATGTATTAATATAATTAAAATGTTAGGTTTGATCTAAGAAAGTAGTTCTTTGCCTTCAGCTTAGACAACAAAGTTCGGCCTGCCACAAGCCAGGGCCAATGCTGCCTGCCAAGAGGAGTGTCTGCCATTTGTTCAACAACTGAGTCAAATGAACACACTCAGGATTCAAGCAAACATTAACAAAACATTAATTCCAGTTGTTCTCAATGATGTTGGTATTCTGCAAATAACCTATTAAGGCTACTATGAAGAAAGAAGACATGTGTATTTTAAGAATTTTCATTTTTTTCCTTCATGCTCAGTATGTTGTAATGCAGTACCCTTAGGTCCAAATTCATCCATCTAGCTGGGTTTTTGTTTTTGGTATGTGCCCAATACAGGGAAATACAGGAAAGCATCAGATACACTGATTAACAAGAAAGCTACGGCTTCAAGTTCATGTTCCAGTGAGATACTCATCATTGTACTGCTGTGTGGGGCTTACAAGAGGCCATGTGCACAAGTAACTTGACTGGGGATGGGGAGAGTCCACTGCATAGAGTAGGTAACATCTGAGGGTGAGAAGAGCATTCTAGACACAAATCATAGCATGTACAAAGGCACAGCAGTGTGAAATGCGTTTATCATGCATGGGAATGGCTGAGCATGACTAGGGCACGGAGGACAGAGAATGAGGTTGATAAGAATATCAGTTAGAAGTAGAGGGTTTTCTAAATTGGGCAACTATTTGAGTATGGAAGCCAAAACTGGATACGGAAAATAGAAAAGGAGGTGAGATTGGGGCCTTCGAGGAGATGGGATGCAGGGTAGGCAACAAACTATTTAGATGTGAAGCATGTTGAATTTTGGGTCCCCTGGTGATATATACGTTGAGCTATCTGGTAAGCAGTCAGAAACACAGTTAAAGAATGCAGCCTGGCAACACACAGTGTGTGCAGGGGCCAAAAGGGACAACCAAAGAGCCCTGGGGCAAGACGAGGACAAGGCAGGCACAAGGAAGAGAAGAAATCAGGGAAAGAGACAGACAAGGCCAGGGTCAGGCCAGGTCCTCGGCTCTGAATACTGGTCTCCAAAGGCAAAAGGCCACAGAGTAGTTCCAAAATCGAAAGGGGGTAAATGCCAAATGCCACTGTGAGGCCAAGGAAGGTGGTCCCTGGTCTTCAAGACCACCAGGCGCACTCCTTCCGGGGAGACCGTGCATTACTCTTCTCTCTGCTTAGAGTGCTCTTTCCAGAGAACAGCCATATGACTCACTTCCTCTCACCTCCTTCAGACCTTTACTTAAAAGTCATCTCTTCATTGGAAGTTTCCCCAGTCACCCTATCTAAAAGAATCAACTCCTCCACTCTGAAATTGCTTATATCCTTTCTCTGCTTTTTCCTCTTTACACTTGTCAAATCAATCTCTCTCTCTCTCTCTCTCTCTCTCTCTCTCTCTCTCTCTCTCACACACACACACACACACACAAATTATTTAATATCTGTTTCTTTCTCAAGCAAGTAAAAGCCACAAGAGCAAGGATTTTTTTCTGTCTTATCTATTGCAGTATCTCTAGCACCTTGAAAAGCACCTGAGCACCTGACAACAAGAGCCAAAGATGGTCAAATGTTTGTTGGATTAATTAATGAAGGAAGGAGGGGTATAGAGAAGCCCTAGGAATGCAAGAAAAACCGTCATAACAGCTCAGGAATTTGTGAGGACAGCCCTGAACTCAAGGTGCTAGGCAGTAAGTATACAGGTAGCAAGGAAACAGCAACAGTCGGCAAACAGAGGGAAACATTTTTGAGAGATTTTTTTAAGTAGAAAAAAAGACATAAGATGACAGCTTAAGGTCCAAGACAGAAGAAATGGTCTTTTGTTCCTGTTTTGTGGATCAGCTCTACATGTGTCAGAAAGGGACTGACTGCTGTACAAGAGAGAAGGGTGACAGGTTCCAGGAGCAGAAGGAATTGAGATAAAGAGACCAGTCTAGTTTCTAATACTTCTAATAAAGGGAAAGCATTAGCCTTGGAGAGGAGTAGGCATTACCTCTTCCAGGTAAAGTGGTAAGGTAGGACCTGAGGCCTGAGCGATTCTGCAAGTGGAGGTGACAACGAGGAAGGTCTGACAGGTGGCCCTGGTCTCAGTAAAGTGGAAGGAGAGAATACAACCTAAAGGAGGAACGCAGAGGTGGGGCTGGACTTGGGCTCCCCAGACAGAAAAGCCTTGGAAGAGTGTTTCTGGGAAGCGCAGCTGAAACGGGGTATACCAAGTAGCAGTGAGGGTCCATGTAAACTTTGAAACATTCATGCATTCAATAGATAGTGACTAGCAAGATACTAGGTGCTTGGGTGCAATAGTGAAAAAATACACCCAAAGCCCTGCTTTCATGGAGCCTACAGTATAGTGATGTAGGAACTAAATGTGGGTCTAATTGGCTTTAGTTTTTCATCAACTCAAGTGTCTGTAGCAGGTGGCAGGTGCTGTCTCAAGATGGTGACTGGCACAGGGAATAAGGTCAAGAAGGTTAAGGGATAAAGACTGTTGCGACACCAAGAGTATTGAGTAGAAAACAGGGAAGGGCCAGGTGACACTTCTTTTACTGTCTCAAGCACCTGGACTTGGTCCTTTTTTTGCCTGTGGCTCTATCTTCACTGTACACAGTAAGGATGATCCTTTGGAGCACCCTGACCCCCCAATTCCCTAGGAC